ACTCACCCCCAGGAACCCATCTTTGCTCTTGGTCATGGTTTCCGGCAGCAGAGGCTGGAATCGGGCCTCTATGGTGAGCGTCTCCTCACTGGGGTCCGGGGACAGCTCCTCGTCCTCATAGCTGCTCGCAGGAGTTGACCCTAGGAGATACAGATTGCGGAAGCTCTCCCCGGGGACCACCCTGGCCTGGGGGTGAAGGGCGCCAGGCTCCCAAGGTAAAGGCAGGCCCGACAGGAGTCCTGAGAGTTTCACTCTAGCCCTGTGGCGATGGTGAGAACACTGCTGCCCACCCGGTCCAGAGGACGTGGAGGCTCAGAGAGGTGTGAGGACTTCCCAAGGTCGCACGGCCAGGGAGTGAGGAGCCAGGATCCCAGTGTATGCTCCACCACCACCCTCTTCTGCGGAAGGGTCTGCTCTCTGGGCAGACGTGTTCTCTAACTGAACCAGCCTGACCCGGAGTCCGAGCCCAGCCCCCACCACTCACAGGCTGGGGGACCACTGGCCAGTGGCTTGTCATGAGGAATAAATGAGACAATCTACACTTGATGTCAACCCAAAGGCAATTAAACGAGACAATCTATGTACAGAGTGTTTAGCTCTGGGCCTGCAGAGAAAACCCGGACCACACTCCACGTGACTCAGGGTAGAGTGAGCTTTCAGGGTGGGGGCAGTCCTTGAGCTGGGGTACCCATCTGATTCATCTGACTCCCACCGGGGTCTTTCTTTACGTCAGGCTGGCTGCAGCAAGGAGGGGTGCCATGCCCCGATTCAAGGCACTTGGTTAGGGGATGGCCACCATTTATAGAGGGAGCCCTAACTGCATTTTGAGTCTGGGCTTAACTTCAGGCTCCATGAAATTCACTGACCATTACGTGGCCACAAAGGAAGCGCGACCCTCGGGCAGTGCTTGCAAGTGGATGATGACTTTCAGCCAGCCCTGCAGGCCCAGCCTCCCCCAGGGACCTGCCTGTATCCGCCCTAAGGGGAAACTGGGGTGCCAGGGCCAGTGGCAAGGAGGCCAGCACCCCTCCTGGGGAGTTGAGGTAGTTAGTTTATTGTACCAACCTGGCCAATAAACACATGTGGGGTTAATTGAAGGGAGGAGGGATAAATGGTTCTGTGAGCCTTGCCTTTCTAGTTCTTGGGTCTCTTGCTTTCTGATGGTCTCACCAGGGTGCAGCTGCCTTAGCCAGTTCCCTGCTTCAGCTTGCAAGGCTCACTTCCTGCAAGACATCTCCAAGGAGAAGCCACATGGATCTACCCCAATGCAGCTCTGGGTGCTGGAGCAGGCGTGTGGAGACTCCTGCCAGTGCTGAGATGTTTACACGTTCACTGACTTGGCTTTCCTCCTGCAGTTGGCATCATTGCATGTGTTTTGTCAGATGGAGGAGGACTTTGTGGATTGGTGTCGGACATTTGGGTTATTGTTGGACTTGTGCAGCACTGGGTTGGGATGTTTTCTTGATGCACACTTAACCTTTATATAAAAACTCTCTTATACATGAGTTTCCGTGGATTTGTTTCTTTAAAGTACCCAGACTAACACAGGAGTGTTCCGAACCTGCGATAGGCTGTGAACCCCAGGCACATCCGTCGTTTCGCCCGGCCACAGCGGCGACCTGCCCTGTTGCCAGCCAGGAGTTCGTGATGAATTTCCTTTGTCTCCACGTTCTGTACTTCCCTTCCTTTGGACCCCTATGGCCCCATGCTGGTGGTCTGGTCCCCCTCATCAGGATGATCTGGTCCAGCTAAAGACTTACCAAAGAGGTCTCTCTAAAATACATTAGGACTTGGGGTCCTTTTCCTCGGAGAACAGGCTAGTCCTGTGGTCTCCAGTCCCTTCATTCTCCAGGTGTCTGTGATCCGGCAGTGCTGGGCCTGCCACAGGAGCCTGCTTCCGAGTTGGACAGCTAACTGCAAAAGGTTAGCAGTTCGAATCTACCAGCCACTCCTCGGGAGAGACATGGGGCTTTCTACTCTTTCTGTGATTCCAAGTTACGGTCTTGGAAACCCACAGGGGCAGCTCTACCTTGTCCTATAGGGTCACTGTTTGCTGGCGTTGGCTCAATGGCGGTGAATTTTTAGTGGTGGCACTGCAGGTGCATCACAGAGAGAAGCTACTTTCTGGGGCAGGAAGCTGAGAACCTACTGGGCCAGCATCACCCCCCCGATCCCTCAGTGGCGGGCGGCTCCATTTCCTGGCTTTGGGGACAAACCGAGGTTCCCTGGATGGTGCCAACAGTGAAGTGCTCAGCGACGAGCAGAAAGGTTGTGGGTTGGAACCCATCTGGAGGCTGCCCCGGCCAGGTACTTCTGAGCGGTTCCCACCTTGACCGCCCTACAGAGCACAATTCGACCCTGCACTGAGAGCCGGCACCTATGACCACTAACAGCTACAACAATGGGGCGAGCCAGTTAGCCTCTCGGAGACGATGAAGTCATTCCTGGCCCTGGCCCAGGCCCCGTGGGAAAACGAACAGCCACTCCAAGAGGGACTTGGGCCAGGGCATCAAAGCGGCTGAGGACAGCAAGGGGCAGAGCCGGCTCTCTGGTGGCAAAGAGGGAGCAGCCAGGCCTCTCGGATTTTCTGGGTGACCCTGGGGTGCCCCTTCCCCACCAGGGCACACCGCTTTGCCCATCTGTGCAAGGAGGGCCAGATTGGCAGTGGGCACACTCGATTTCTCAGCTCTCTTCCTGAGAAAGCTGACAGTGGGGCCTCCCCGGTGGGAAGGGAGAGACAAGCAAAGCTCGGGGGAAAGCAGACCCTATTGCATACTATGGGCCAAGCCCGGTGTGTGATGCAGACGAGACCGGTGTTTGCTGAGCGACTGGCTCACCTGGAGCCCTAGTGGCAGTGGGTAAAAGCATCCGGCTGTTAACCAAAACCACCAGGCAGTCTGCAAAGATTTAGTCTTGGTTTTCTGTCCTATAGATTCCCCGTGAGTGGGAACTGAGTCATCGGCAGCGGGTTTACCCAGGAGTCACCAATCCACCTAGAATGGCCTTTCAAATGACAGGCGTCCAGTGTAGGGGTAACATGTTTAGCTCCTGACCACAAGGTCAGCGGTCCAAAACCACCCATCACTCTCCAGGAGAAAGGTGAGGCTTTCTACTCCCAGATAGGGCGACAGTCTTGGAGACCCACAGGGGCCGCTCTACCCTGTCCTGTCCGATGATGGCATCAACTGAGTCACAGTGGACTTGGTGGCAGGGCGTTTGTCCTAGAAGGAGGACATAGCACTTTTACTTCGCACTCCCCAGGGGCTCCAGATGCAAGTCCAGCTCTAAAGAAACACTGTTATTCCTGAATTTGCAAGAGAATGCAGCGAAGCCGCCCCTGGAACCCTGGGAGGTGGGAGCAGGAGTGGGCAGGGTGACTAGTCTGCCTTGCATGTTCCATGATTTCATTGTTACAACAGGCAATTATTAATAATGACAGCCAGCTTGTCATAGTTCCCTGTGGGGTTTTTTTAAACTAAAAATGTTATTCCCTGACTTATAATATTTGTTCATTGTAAGCAATGTATTAAAAAAATGAACTGTAATGCACAAACTCAAAACCACTCATAATTCTTCTTTACCTGCTTGGATATTTTTCTCTCCCCTTTTTCTTTCAGCATTTTGATTTCCTAGTACTTGGTCTTGTTTAGGATCCTCAGTGGCATAGTGGGTTAAGGAGTGGGCTACCAACCCCAAGGTTGGGGGTTCAAACCCTTAAGTCACCTCTGGAGAGAGAGATGAAGCTTTCTGCTCCTAGAAGGACGGGTGGTCTCCAGAACCCGAGAGGGTCGCTCTGCCCTGTCCAGTAGGGGAGCCGGGAGTGCGGTCAGCTGGACAGGAGTGTGTCAGTCATGGCTTGCCCTCAGTGGGGATGGCGGAAGGCATTATTTTCCTCCGCTGAAGAAAAGTAGTTATGAGAAAAAAAAACTGTAAGTGCCCTCAAGGCAGCCAGCCTTGCCAGGCTGTTGCTGTGCAGGAGTCCTGGTTCCTGGGGCCAAGGAGCAGGATAGGGAGGTAGCTGTGGGGGTGGTGGGAGAAGAATATGCAAAATAACAGGAAGATGTAAAAGCAAGTCCACTAGGGGAGGACCTGCTCACCGGCCTGTCTGCTTTTACGACAGCACTGACTGCCACCAAGAGCCGCTGACACCTACCCGCTCCAGCCAATTAGCATTTCCCACTTGACCTTCCTCTGCTGGCAGTGACAACAGGTCACCGGGCCAGCGGGTGGCTGACCTATGGGACACATGGTCTGAAACACAGAAAGCCCGCTATGGCGGTCTCATATTTGCATGGGGCCGAGAGCAGCCGGGCCTCTTGTTCTAGCTAGCCTTTCCCAGCCACTGACTTACCTGCCCTGGGCAAGCTGGGCAATAAGCAGGTGTCCAAAATCAGGCCGAGACACCTCATAAGAAGTTACAGGAGTGAGAGAGTGGACAGAATCCTGGCCCACCACGTTTTGAGGGCGGCATGCCCGCTCGGAGCAGCCAATGCACAGAAAGGACCGTGGGGTCGGCCTCACCACAAGATGTGACGTCCCCTCCCTGACCCACAGTGCTACAGGGGCAGCACCAGCGGCCAGTGCGGGGATTGTGTCTGTCCTGACCCCCACACCAGGGCAGAACGGAAGGGAGTGCAGCCCCCAAGGAACTCCGAAAATTGATTTCAGACTTGGGGGGCAGGGCTTGGCACGGCATCAGAAAGCATTTCTAAGGGTCAGCAGATAGACTGGGAACTATTCATAGGCTATTTTTTTTTCTTGTCTATCTATATAAGATAGGCAGGATCAACAATCCCAAGGAGAAAACAACGGGACAGGGGAGAGGAAGGGCGAGGGGGGCGCGGGTAAGGGGGAGAGGAGCCAACAAACCCAGGGACGAGGGAACAACAAGAGATCTAAAATCGATGGCGAGGAGGCATTGAATGCCTGGTGGGGTTCAATCAAACGCAATGTAGCTGAGAGGAAGTACAGAGAGCCGAATGAAGGTTGAACGTGACGGTGGGACGAATGAAGGTTGAACATGATGGTGGGACAGGAGGAAAGCAAAAGGAAATACAGGAAAGAACTAAGAGGCAAAATACATGTATAGAGGTATAAATATAGGCATGTACATATGTAAATACATTAAGATATAATGATAGGCATATAGGTCTGTGTACATACATTTATATGTTAAGTATTAAGGTAGCAGACAGACATTGGGCCTCTACTCAAGTCCTCCCTCAACACAAGAACACTTTGTTCTAATAACCTGACATTCTGTGATGCTCGCTTTCCTGACACGATTGCTGAAGAGAAAATGGGTGCCTAAGCTAATGCGGTGAAGAAAGCTGATGGTGCCCGGCTATTACAAGATCTAGCGTTTGGGGTCTTAAAGTCTTGAAGTTAAACAAGTGGCCACCTAGCAGTGAAGCAACAAAGCTCACATGGGAGAAGCACACCAACCCATGTGATCACAAGGGGTTGATAGGATCAGGTATCAAGCATTAGAAGACCCCAAACAACCATTTTGATGTGAATGAGGGGGGGTCGGAATGGAGACCAAAAGTCCATCTGTAAACAATTGAACATTCCCTCACAGAAGGGTCACAAGGATGGGACAAGCCAGCCAGGCTGCAGTATAGCACTGACAAAACACACAACATTCCTCTAGTTCTTTAATGCTCCCCCTCCCCCACTCCCCACTATCATGTCTCCAGTTCTACCTTACAAACCTTGCTGGACCACAGTATGTACACTGGTACAGATAAGAACTCTTGACACACAGAATCCAAGACACAGAAGCCCCTCAGGACCAGTATCAGGTAGGGGGGAGGTGGGAGGATAAGGGGGAAAAGGAGTAACCAATCACAATGATCGACATACAACCCTTTCCCCAGGGAGACGAACAGAAACATGGGTGAAGGGAGACAGCAGACAGTGTAAAATATGAAAATAAAAATAATTTATAAATTATCAAGGGCTCATAAGGGTGTCAGGGTGGGGGAGTAAGGGGCTAAAAAAAGAAGAGCGGATACCAAGGGCTCAAGTAGGAAGAAAATGTGTCGGAAATGATGATGGCAACATAGGTGCAAATGTGCTTGATGCAACTGATGTGTGGATTGTTTGAAGAGCTGTAAGAGCCCCTAATAAAATGATTTATTAAAAAAAATAAAGACGTTACAGGGAAGTAAAGGTAAAGGATCGGGATGAGGTGAGGGGCGGATAAGAAACTTAAAAAAACAAACAGTTCATAATTCATTAGAGTGGTTCCGCTTCTCACCTCTGCAGGATTAGCAGGAAGTAGCCGATTCCATCTCGGCAAGCACGGCTCACAAGGAAGGGGTGAGAGTCTGAGAACCTCACTGCCATCTAGTCCGTTCCGACTCACGGTGACCCTTTGCCACCGAGCAGAAGTACCCCTGGGGTGTCCGAGCCTGTCACTGGTTATGGGATTAGAAACCTCATCTTTCTCCTGAGGGACAGCTGGTGGTTTCAAACGGGTGACCTCATGGTTAGCAGCCCAGCGCAAAGCTACGTGCCACCAGAGCTCCCAGACAGCACCTAAGCAGAGTTTAATGTGCTTAATAAGAATTGTTGTGTGCCCCGGAGTCGATTCAGACTCATCGTGACCCCACACGATGGGCTAGAACTGGCCCCAGTCCAGGTCGCTCGGGTGTTGTCCTTCCGGAAACAGACGGCCAGGTCTTTCTCCATAGAATTCCAGGGTGAGTCTGAACGGCCCACTTTGGGTTAGCAGACAGGGCTTTGTGGTAGTTACATAATTTCAGGTCAACTTGAAGCTGTGTGAAAGTGCAGGGGTGGAGTTCAGCCTGTCAATCAGGCCACAACCTGAGGTGCTTCCTTGTGGGCGTGGCCCTCTCATGAAGGTTCTGGGAACCACCCCTTCTCTCCCTGCCTTCACCTTCCTGCTGGCTGACCCTGGTTGCTACCGGCCCAGAAAAGCAGCCACTACCATTGGATCCACAGGGCTTTGCACCCACCGGCCTGCCATCTGCCTGCATTCTGCATCATTGCATGTGGCTGCATGAGTCTGAGGGGGGATTTATGGACCAGTATCGGACCTATGGACTTGAGTTGGACTGGGCGGGGATGTCTTCTCGATATATAACTACTTTCTGATATAAAGCTCTTTCTTAAACATCTATGAGTGTCTCTGCACTTGTTTTTCTAGTGAAGCCTGAGTAACACAGGCTTGGTTCTTAGAGCTGTGAGTTAGCACGGGACACTGGAGCCAGATGGCTCCAGTTCTAATCCTGCCCCTGCACCTTTCTAGTCGGGTGAGGTGGTTAGCTTCTGAGGCCCCAGTCTTCCCAACCGTCTAGCTCCCAGGGGAACTGTGAAGATCAAGGAGCCGCCACTCCTGCTGGGAGGGAAAGCAGGGCCCTGGGGGAGCTCAGAGCACCAAAGTCTACCATCTTCCTGCTGCGCCAGGCTGCTGTAAGGGTACCACTGTAGAGAGCCTGAGGGCACTGCCTTGGCGCCCCTTCCCCAGCCCAGCCTCTCCTGGTACCTGTCAGCTTCTCAGCAATGGGTCTGAACTCCTCAGGGCTGATGTACATGTCCCGGTCCGTGTCCAAGGAGGAGAAGAGAAAGAGGCCTTCTGTCCCCAGAGCCTTCAGCGCAGAATCCTGTGGGGAAGGGAGGGCACGCCTCAGAACCAGTTGGATTCCCGAGTCTCGCTGACCCCCAATGGGAAGTTGCCGCCAGCCCTGGCGAGAGAGGTGGTGGTTGCCCCATCCCCATCTTCCTGTGGTCTCTCAATACCTCCCAGTCCATCCGTCCAAATGTCATCTCAGAGCCCCACTCCGTCTCTCCTGGCCCCTCCCTCCATGTGCACGCTGAGTGCCCGCCCCCAGCCTGTCCCATCTTCTGGCCTGGCCAGCTCTGCTCAGCCTGTGCTTCCCCCACGGTGCACTCGGCTCCACGTGGGTACACAATACGACCTGGGCTCTCCCCTGGTCCCTTCAGACCTCACTGTGAGCCAGCCCCTCACCTCCCTCCCTGCATCCTTGCAACTCTGTCTGCCCTCCCCTCCTGACCGTCCCCGACCCCTTTGTCCCTCCCTGTGCATGTGTCTTGCCAGGGTCATCGGTGTCCCAGAAATGGCACCGTAGGTCACCCTGGCTTCCTTCGACTCTTAGAGCCGTTCTCTTCTGCTCCTTGGCTGATGGCCTGTCCTCAGACAGCCCCTGGGGGCCAGCCTCCTCCCTCCATCCCCCTCTTCCGGCCCTCACCCCCTCTCCATTTCTCCCTCGTTCCGGTGCCTTTGTAAGCTGGTGGCCAACTTCCCATCCCGCCCCACGCCCCCACCCACCCCTCG